TGAGTTCATTCTATTTTCGAAGCGAACCGCATAACTCTTTCTTCTCAAGATTTTCTTTTTCTGCCCACACATCCCTCTTCTCGTTCAGTTGAGATGTCGGCTTCGAGTTTATCATCTGGCGAGTGGAACTCTTGCTTTTCGTTGACTTGGGGAGAAATCGAAGATATCGCTCGGACACTTCCGGTGGAGGCTCCTTCCGACCGCCCTTTGTCGAGATGCACGCCGGACTCTCAGGAGAGGATCCTGCTGACAAACCTCCCCTCTCTTCCAGACTCGCCCCTATCTTCCCTGGAGAGGGGGACCGAGCGGATCGCCCGCCGCGACACTGCATCGCCATCCACGACGAGTAGGGCAGCCTTCCCCGAATGGTGGTCGATTTCTGCCGCTTCGTCGGCATCTGCCCCAGCCAGCTTCACCCCTCGGCGTGGGGCCTCCTTTGCGCTTACCAGGTCCTGTCGGACCTGTCTGGGGTCTGCATCCTCAGATCCACGGTGCTGCTTTCCTACCAGCTCTGGAGCCTGACTGTCGACGCCCTCCGTTACACCCTGCATAACAGGGATGGGTGTACCGCCGCCATCCACGTCGACCGTTCAGGGAGCCGCGACTGGCGCGAGCGGTACTTCTTCTTGATGGTGCCTCCGGATGTCAACGTCCAGCTCACCTGGCGCCTACGGAGTAGGATTACTGACCTTTCGTCTCCTTCTTACGTTTACTCTGGTTGCCAAAACTAACTTCTAATGGCCTTCTGTTTGCCAGGCTCTGTGATGATGTCGGTCTTCGAGCAGGCCGAGCTACACTGGCTGCTCGGGGTACACGAGTGGTTTAGGTCATTCGACTTCCTGCTCTCGCCGATGAAAATCGGGGCAAGCTCGCTCGTCCTCCCGTCCCGCGTGATGTTGGACGTTCCAGGTAAAGACTCTGGATTTTCTACTTCTGACCCTATGCTAATCTACGCAGAACTGATTTACTAACCCTACTTCCATAGGTTCTCGAGACCGGATTGCGGAGATCTGGGATCTCTATGCCCCCGATGGCCGCTTGTCCACTGCAAGGTTTATGCCGGTCGTACTGAGAACGCCCGTTCAGACCCCACGCTGGAGACCTCAAGCTAGCTCCCCCGAAGGGGAGGCTTCGTCTCGGCCTTGGTACCGGAGGCACCTCACCGGGTCTTCCGTGGTGAGGGCGACGTGGTCCCCCAGACCTTCTCCCGTCCTCCCTGACACTACCTCCACAAACTCTGATTCTTCTGTGAGCCTGGAGGCTTTGAGCGACGCGGACACTCCTCAATACCTGGGGACTGTCGAGATGTCCAGGGCCACGCGAGCCGCTACTCAGGTCCCTGCTGCACTGGGCTCACCAAAGGCGATGAGCATTTCTTTGGAGTCAGAGCCGATGTTCGCGCCTCCTCGTCCGACCGCTCCCTCTACCCGCAAGCTCACGGGATGGGGGCTGACCGCTTCTGAGCTCACGCAATCTTTGGATGCGGTAAGTTCTTCTTTCGGGACTTCCTCCCTCTTCGTTTCTTGGTTCTTCGTATCTCACTCGCTGCTTTTGCTGTTGACAGAGCCAACGCTCGTTAGAGATGCTGGAGCACGAGCTCCACGCAGCAGAACATCGAGAACGGGGCCTCACAGACAGGACTAGCGAACTCCAGGCCGAACTCCTTGTGACTCGAGACCAACTCGCCGAGTGCCATACCTCCGCTAGGGGGGAAGATCTAAGTGCGGAGATGGAACGCCTGTCCTTAGCGCTGGTGGACAGCCAGCGGGATCTGGATGCTCGCAATTCAGAAGTGCAGACGCTCCGCCAGACCCTCATGGTATACTGGGGTTTCACTCCCGGGGCCGAGAGGGATCTGGCATTGATGGCGTCTGAGGCCTTCAAGAGCAGCTAGGCCACAATTTGCATGCTCAGGCGGGAGCTTGAGGAGGAACGGCGGCGGAGCGGGGCGCGGTGGCCGAACACTTCAAGGACGACATGAGGCGCAGGAGGCGCAGGTCCTTCTTTACTGGCGGGATCTTCACGCTCGCTGGGTTTTTAAATTAAAATGTCTTGTTTCAGGGACCTTTGTCCCTTGTATATTTCGGTCTCGAACCTGGATCAGCGACCGTTTTTTGGCCTATTTGCCTTTTTTTATATGCACTTCAGTTTGCTTTGTATATCTTTGTCTTTTGTGCATTTTTCGCGCTTTACTTCTTTTTCGGATTCGACGTCTCGGCTTCGGGGCCAATACGCGTAATAGCATCAAAGCCTCGAGTTTGTTGAGTAGAACCGTGGTCTGCATGCCTTTTACATTTTTTTTTTTTGCATAGTTAGCCCGTGTTGACCGCTTTCTTCGTGGAATGCTCGCCGATAATTCCCCCTCCTTCTAGCGCCAACTGTTTGGTAGCAAATTTTGGGATGCCACGTGGGGTGTGTGATTCGTCCGGGGGATGGAGCTGTGTCTCCGACTTTCGTCCTCTGGGGGGAAAGGCGACGAGTCATTCCGGGGCGGAAGACTGCTTAAGACCTGGTTACGGGAGAGTCATGATGCAGTATCCTGCAAACACTACACAAAAGGTCAATCGGGCCTTCGGAAAGTCCGGAAGGTGGTTTCCCTCCCGAAGGTTCTCTGACGCCCAAGTCAATGAACGCCCCACTGGGAACAAGTACTCATGAGGGGTGTTTCTACGGGTTAGGGGTGAGAAGTCTCATCTGGGGATCGAGACTACCATCTGTTTACATGTGTTTCAAAGGGTATCCTAAGCAAAAGGAGAAGACATGACTAGTATAAAGGCAAGGTTCCGGGTCGAGAAAGACTTATCCTAGGAGGCATTCACTCGGGAGAACTAGGGGTTCCCCCTTAACCATGCTGCTTACCGGGGCTGGTTGACTCGGCTTCGGGTGGTAAATCATCTCTAAAGGGTTCTTGATCCACCGACCCGATCCTCTTCTTGTGTGATGGCCTTCCTCCTTTTATACTGCTAGTGTCCATGTCATGTCCTCTCCGTTCAGCGCGCCAGGGGAACAGGTGGTAATGATGATTTTTATGTGTTCGGAGAAGCTCGCCAACTATCTGGGAACAGTGTGCGGGAGTGGTTCAGCCAAGCTAGCCTAGCGTGTGTCAGCGTCTAAGGCAGTTTAGTATCCACGTGTCGGGTCCTCCCTGGACCCGGTTAAATTGGTCCGAACAATTATTATAATTTTTTTATAATATTATTTACTTTTATGTTAATTATTAATTTATAATATTAATAAAATTATATATTTTTTAGAAAAGGTATAAAATATTATTATATTTTAAATCGATCTAATTTTTTTTTGTCATCTAGTAATATTAAACATCAAAGTAGAATACATGATAAAATATAAAGATGTAATTTAAAGCCGGCGGAACAACAAAATGTCCCCGAAAACTAAGCCCAAAAGAGGGAAACTAAGCCTGCGAAAAAACTAAATATCTCCGGAAGTTAAGTCGGCAGAAAACTAAATTTCCCCGGAAGCTAAGCCGGCCAAAAACTAAATTTCCCCGGAAACAAAACCCCAACTTAAACAAAAACAATTTAACTAAAAGTCAAACTTGATATTAGCACTAAAACCTGCACTAATTTCAAAACTCCAGAAAGTCTACAAACTAGAATCTCCGTCCTTGCACACGGGTCACGGTCCTTGCCCAAGGCCCACCAAATGGAAACATCAACTTCTTGTAGCACAAAAAGACCCCCTCACACAAAGTACCAGCGAAGAAGAAAAACACAGCTAAAAAAATTCAAACAACACCAAATCTTCTGCAAAATGATACTTAACCCAATACTACGTAAAAACGAAGAACAGCTGAATAAGCACCACCAGGGGAAGACATATTGTAGAGGCGAAGAAAGGAAATTAAGTTGTTGAGCGAGGGAAAGAAGCCCTGAAACTAACTTCTTCATCAAAAGAAAACAAAATTGAAACCTGCAAATAGAAAGCATAACATCAAGTAGAGCAAAACCGAACCATCTATTTAGAAAGGGACAACCAAAAACTGGCAAAGAAGATCAAAACAGATCATATCAGTTATAGATCTGATAAAGTAAGCTTCATCAAATCCATAATAACCAGATCCAAATCTGATCTACCAAAGCCAAAAACTTAAAAACAAAACTATAAAACAGAAAACCAAACCGATATCATGGCTGTGAAAGCCCACGATCACCGGCGGCAGTTAAACATACAAGATCTATTTTTTGTGTTCTAAAGAGAAGGCGGAGATAATATAGAAATCTACTATATTAGCTTTAAATTGGTTTAGAAGCTAATATATTAGATTTCTATATTATATCCGTCTTTTCTCTAGAACACAAAAAGCAGATCTTGTGTGTTTAATTGCCGGCGATCGTGGGCTTTTACAACCATGATATCGGTTTGGTTTTTCTGTTTTATGGTTTTGTTTTTAAATTTTTGGCTTTGGTAAATCAGATTTGGATTTGATTTTTATGAAGCTTACTTTATCAAATCTATAACGGATCTGGTTTTTATGGGTTTGATGATGTTTTTTTTGTCAGATCTACACATTTGATCTGTTTTGATCTTTTTGCCAGTTTTTGGTTGTCTTTTTCTAAATTGATGGTTTGACTTTGTTCAACTTGGTGTTCTGCTTTCTATTTGCAGATTTCAATTTTGTTTTCTTTTTAACGAAGAAATTAGTTTTAGAGTTTTCTTTGCTCACCAGCTTAACTTCCTTTCCTTGCCTGGTGATGTTTCCATTCTTTGCCTGGTGATGTTTATTCAGATGTTCGTGAAGATTTAGTGTTTTTTTATTTTATTAAATCGATCCAACTTAAAATTAGAATTTTCTTTTTAAATTTATAAAGTTTTTATTATATAAAAAATTGATTATATAAATAATTTTTTTCACAAAAAGAAAAAAGCAAAAACATACGACGTTAAAAGCAATCTTCTAAACCCAAGGGTTTTATAGTTAAAATATTTGAGAGATGTTATTTCCACAATAACTATTTTAAAAAGTGCTTTTTCTGTAATTAGCTACTCTTTTCAACAAATTTGGAAAGCAATACAATCAAAACTCAAAAAGATCAGGTAAAACTTAGTTCAACAAAAACGTTTACGAATTTCAATTTTATAAGTTCAAAACAGAATTTTAAAGAAGATGCTTCACCATGTAAGGACCTTCCAATTCATAACCCAGCTTTCTATAGTAATGTCGCGTTCCTACACCTGAAATCACACCGATTTTGTTAGATCGGTGTTCTCTTCTAGCAATCCTCTCTGCTTCTTCCATCAGAAGTGTTCCGTATCCCTGCGAATTCGACACAGAAGAAACCGATAGTCAGAACAAAAGCTCTCCTTAATTAAGTGTCAATTTCAAGTTGAATCTTGAGTACCTGATGTTGCAACTTATCAGCTTCTCGACCATGTACTGGTACAGCCGTTCCATATACATGAAGCTCACGGACAACAGAACACTTTCCCATGAGTTCTGGACAAGTTACGTTCTTCCCGCATTTTCGCAAGCGTAATAAGCCAACAAGAATGTCCTGCGTCCACAGAGAAATGATTTGTCTTTTCTTTGAGTAAACTTCAGTCTCGACAGATTCTAAAACCAATAAGAGAGCGTATGGCTTGAGAGGACAAAGCTTTTTCAAAGTTTCTCATGGAACTCTAGGCTTAGTGCATATTATTGACCACCTACTCAATCTATATATGATACAATATCTTACTGCATATTTCATCAATAATACAAATCCATTGTATACACGACTACATAGAGACACGTGGTTAGTCCAATACAGGATTACTATTAGAATTCAGACAAGGACAACAAAAGAGATCCTGATACTTTTGAAGAACACGCTTTAAGTCCTACCAAAACTTGACAATTTCCCCCCTTTTTTAAAAAAAAAAAACACAAACATATATATTTACAGATAATTCATTCACTATCATCCAAGGGACTATACTGTGAGAGGCGAGGATGAGAGTTATGAAACTTTTACCTGGCGTGTATCTTCATAAGAGAGGAATGTCTCCCACCCTTCATTTGCAGTGTAATCACGACGCACAAGCTCTACTTGTTCTGGCTTAATTTTGTGATGAATGTCCTGTACACAGACCATACAAGCAAACATTTGTTAAGAAATCCAGTAGTCAAAGCAGCAAATCAAAGGACGAAACCACAATTTTACGTTAATCACCTGAATTCCAGCTTCACGAGTACGGACATCACGGCATTTAAGGCCCAAGTCATCCATTCTAGCTAGAGCCAGTTCACGAAGATTCCCTTTTTCAACCCCAGACGTAACCAGAGGCATAGGGATATCACGCTGAACTCTATAAACACGTGTCCATGGAGGTACCATGGAGAGAATCCTTGCAACTATATCCACAAGCTGCTCAGGTGGATAGTTTCGGTACCTACAGAAAACGAAACATGATTAGAGTTTTTCCGTTTGTAACATACATGCACACTCTTCTATATTAAACAAAAGAACATTATTACCTCCCAGTTTTCCATAATTCGTAAAGGCCAGTTCCACGTATCACAAGGGTAGGATATATTTTTAACCCATCTGCTCTAAATGACGGGCTCTCGAAAAACTCCTTGAAACTTTCCATGTCCCTCTCAACCCCAACATTAGGAAGATCAGGCATCATATGTGCAACCACCTATAACCAAAACAGACAAAAGGAGTAAGGACGACGCAGTTGTAGCAGCGTCACAGAACAAAAAAAAAGGCTCACTGCTTTTAAGGAAATTGATGAACAGAAACATAGAAAGCGAAAGCTTCCAAGAGAAAGTTGATATTAATACGATAAAATTTATGATGCACGGGGGACGCCAATCGGGTTAGTGTCCCCGTACCGGGGACGTTTCGGGGACGGAAACGGCTTGGGGACAGTTAGGAAACGTCTCCATGACGTTTCTAGCAATTTGGGGTATTGGAGAAATGAAAAACTTGCGAACTATAAACGTTTGCTTAACTATTTGAGTACTAATTATCAGATTTGTGAATTATAAAATGATAAAAAAACCTCTAAAGGTATTAAAATGGAAGGTTAGATATATAGTTTTGTATAGATACCCGTATCCCTAAAATTTTTAACTTCCGTTTTCCTCCTACCCGTTTCCCGTTCCCGTATCCGTCTCAGTGCAACATATTCATCAAAGACTAATTCATAGGGGTATACCTTGAAACCAGCATCTTTAGCCAAGCAGAAGCAGTCGGCTACCGCAGCAACAGTATGGCCTCTGTTTGTGTCACGGGCAACATCTTCATATGTGCTCTGAACACCGATCTCTAGTCGGGTGCAACCATAAGTCAGCATTTGTCTTAGATGAGGTCCAAGACAGTAATCTGGCCTCCTGTTGAATTTGTAAAACATATTGTATTTCACTCACTCTTCCATTTAAAGAGATCAATCAAAAGAAAACAGCAATGAAACACGTAACCAATTCACAAAAGTTTTGGTGTAATTCCTCTCCCACATGACTCTCTCCAACAAGTGCAACAAATTTTACAATGAAATCAGTATACAAAACTACGAAAGCTCTAAAAGAAAGATATCCAAATATTAAAATGATTTAGAGAAGGATCAATGCATTCACAAGAAAATACACTTTAGCCCAAACAACTCACGTTTCAATCGTCATGCCAATGCATTTAGTTGCACTATGTTCAGAATAAGCAACTGCTTCCTCAACGTTGGCGGAAGTGTGTCCTGATAAAGCATCATGAAGGTTCCTTATGAAGAAATCCCGATACTCAGCAGGCAGAGACATAAAAGTACCTCCCATCAAAATGAACTCAACCTGTCATTCATATAATCAAGAGTTATCATCATCACTAAGATGGAGACTGGTAAAAACGAAATAATTACTAGAAAAGAACAAACCCTATCTAACCTTATCTACACTGTGACCCAACCGCTTCAGCTGATCTATCCTGCTCCTTGCCTGAACATATGGATTATACCTAACACAATAAAAGAAGGCTTTAACTCAATCCACTTAAACAAAAAACTCACATCCTCATTAGATAAAAAGCACAAAGAACTAGTGTATATATATAAATTCATCATGGTCGATTTGGATGTTCAACATTTCCGTTTAAGAATTCCGTATCCTTTTGATTCTCATCAGCGAGAGGAACAAGCTATTCAGCTTTAGCACTCTTCTTATGGATCTTTAGCAGCTGCGTTTATCAAGAAAGTGTACATTCTTGCTCATAATCTAGAACTCTATCTCTCAATTCATCAATAGTTATTGTAATTCTACGATGTTAGCATTGGAATAATTACAGTCCGAAACAACTACGATCCTAAGAAAAGTTCCCAAATCCAAGATCTCATCACACAACTTGGTTCCTATCCATTGTCAGCAACTGAATCAAATCAGCATGGTGTATTAGAGCCTAGATACGATTTCAATTCATAATCCTCCTTAACAACACCCAACAAAGTGCTAAACATAGTTTCACTTACCCACACACAAACTACAATTGCATAAACGCAGTAGAAACTATTCACCTGGCTCGAATAGCTCGCATGCTTGTAGGCTCGTATCCAGTGTAAGACTGAGTACTATACTCGAAGTCAGAATCGGGTCCACCGGGACAATACACGCAGATATTCCCCGTCGTGGCTATGTGCGGGCACCTGTGAGGCTTCGACATAACCGCCACGACGGCGATCCCTGAAGCCGTTCGGACCGGTTTAGCACGGAGCTTCGGGAGGAGAGTCTCTCTCTCCGAATCGGGAAGCGCAGCGATCATCTCGACTAGCTTCGGCGCACGCGCTAAGCCGTATTTCCGGCAAGCGGCGGTTTTGATTGCGTTTAGGTCAACATTCTCGTTGCGGTGGGAGCGCTCAATCATTGTGCTGACGACTTCTGATATGGCGCGAACTCGAGCTTCTTCCTCAGTCAATCCACGGCCTTGGAAGCCGCCGCGGCCTGGCCGAGGTTGCTTCTTCGATTCGCCGTTCATCACTAACGCCGTCGCCATCGCCGCAAAACCTCAGACGAGAAGAGATACAGGGGAATAGCGTACGGGTTCAACACAGATTTTAGTATAATAGCGTCTTTTAAACGACACCGTTTTTTTTTGTTGTTCAGCAGAACCGAAGGAAAAAAGCTGTCATTCACACGAAGCCTTTATACTAACCACCTTGATTTATACAAATCCATTGATTTTAAAATCAGGCAAATGGATTTTAAAATCAGGCAAATAGATTTTAAAATCGAATATATGGATTTTAAACCAATTAAATGGATTTCAATAATAATCTTGATTAGCATGTAATAAAGAAAAAAAAAACAATGTAAAAATCTATTATTCTTTTAAAAATGTATAAAATCTTCCCACATCTTTATTGCAATAGTTGCTCTCAATTGGTTGGCATGTTCTCTTTGTTGATCATGGGTTACAAGAACTTTCTTGCCAACTTCTTCGTTATTGTTATTAACTTCTTCAAGATCTTCTTCTTCATCACTACTATTTGTTTCTTCTGGAAAATTATCTGATCGACAAAACTTCTGAAGAAAGTTTTGTAAACCAGCACACGCAAATTCAATCTCCGTCTGTGTCTTATAGGGAAAAGGAGGTGCAGACTTAAAAATTAGGAATCGAGATTTGAAGATACCAAAAATTCTCTCGATAACATTTCTTAAGAAAGCATGTCGATGGTTAAACAACTCCTTTTCATTTTGTAGAGTAGTATCTTCACCAGAAAACTCTTGTAAATGATATCGAACACAACGATACAGAGCTAAAAAGTTTCCGTGATTTACAAATCCATAGTCGACTAGATACAATTTTCTTGAAAAAATAATAAAATAGTTACTTATCTAATTAATAAAATGGATACTTAATTAATAAAGTAATATATATATTATACATACTTTCTGGAACTGTTAATCGATTATTGTTCTTTGTTAAAGCATGATTCAATATTTTTGAGTTATGAGCGGAACCTTCCCATCCACTAAGCATATATATGAACTCAAGATCAAAATTACATGCAGCCAATACATTTTGCGATATATCACCTTTTCTGTTGCGAAAAGAGCCTGCTTCTTTTTTTTGGACCATTGCAAAGATATATATACCATCGATAGCTCCGACACAGTTTTAAAGACATGATAAAATTTATGCTCAATAAAATGATAATTTAAAATATGAATCAGAAAAAAATACATACCTTAAAATAAGGATAAAATCTTGTACTTTCTCTTATCTTTTGAGGCACAATAGGCCCAACGGTAGTCATGAAACTTGATCAATTTTGATTTAAAGCTCGCAAAACTTTATGAAAATTGTAGCTCATAGCAAACTTTGATCTTTTAAAAGTGTTTCTTGTATAACAATACCTCGAATTTTGGCCAACTATTAGAAGGAAGGATGCGACTATTTCTTCAAGGCTAATATATCTTGTATCGGTTAAAATTTTTCTTTCTCGGATGAGACCACATAACTTCAAAAAAATATCTGGACCCATCCGATATAACTTTCGAAAGTGAAGAGGATCTTCCTTTAACGCCCTCTCTATATAGTCTTGACTAGCTCTTGTGGTTACACGTCGAATAGGACGTTCAATTTGCAATTGAAGTTGTCGTTGTAGTCGTTTCCTCAGACACATCATCTGACAGAAAACTAAGAGCACCAATAAAGTAATATCAGCATCTAACTCATCATCTTCATGCGATATATATTTCTCTCATTCTTCAAGAATTTCTTCTTCTTCAATAAATGTTGGATTCATGTTTGATACCTTTAACAAAAAAAAAACTTAACCCATCAAAAATAAGCACTAACACATTAAAAAGTGATAGATTTTAATTTCTAGCGTCACTAAACTCTTTGTTTATACATATATATACCATATAAACAGAACAATTATAATAGAGAATAAAATAGAAATCTAAACCATGTACGAAAAATAAAATAAAAGGGACAAATAAATATTTACTAAAGACTTTGCTTTAGATGAAGAGTAGCAAAACCAACAACTATACGATGAAGAAGAAAATTGGTGTTTCTCATCTACGTATTTAAACAAATAACCCAATTTCTTTATGTAAATTTTACTTAATAAAAAAGTAAAGCATTTTACAAATAACTCAATTTTATTTTACAAATAACCAATTTTGTAATGTAAATTTTACTTTATAGAAAAGTAAAATAATTTTATGTAAACTTTACTTTATGAAAAAGTAGTTTTTTTTTCCAAATATACAGCTCAATATTTTATTTACATAAGTTTTACATTTTTTAAAAAAGAAAAGAATTTGAAATGGGTTAAATTTATTTTTCCATAATGTAAAATTACATAAAAAAAAAAGATTGAGTTATTTGTTTAAGGACGAAGAAGAAAAACATTAGTTTTCTTCTTTCTTTTTCAATTTACTTTTCCATAAAGAATTCAAGCAACCATATATATATATATATATAATATATATAAGTAGTGGGAACATTGTATTCAGAAATTTCACCAACTCTGTATTTGGATCTTTATATTTTAGTCATGAAAACACTTATAAATCCATTCAAATCCAATTTCAAACCAAATCCTTAAAATACTTGGATTTTAAAATCATAAAACTAATAACACTGAATTTGAATATGAATTTTGAAATCATATAACCAATAACACTGAATTTGGATATGGATTTTAAAATCATAGATCCAATAACACTGAATTTGGTTTGGATTTCCAAATCAATTAAAATACAAGAACTAATAACACCCTCTAAAACTAACCAACTTTTAATCAAACAATGCAAAGAAGAAAATTGCTTAAGAACCACTCAATCAAATTAACTGTTTTTTGTTTCTGTATTTATTCGTCAGTCCAAGTTAAACTTCTCATATTCCAATTCGTTTTGTCATGGAATTGGTTTATAATTTCATTTTAGAGGAAAAGACAGTTACATATGTTTTAGCCTTTTAAGTAAACATGTTATGGGTTTTCAATTTAATAATATGTGATGCAAAAAAGAAATAATAATATATCAAATTCATGAAATTAATCAAACGACATTTGTGATTTGCCTTCAAAAACGTAAGACCAAAGAAAAGAAAAAATTTATGAGTCTTTTTCAATCGTCTCTACCTTGCTGGATGTGAACCAAACTTGGAACATAATTGAAGATAATAAGCCACCACTTAAGGTTATCAAGCCACGATTTGTGTGTAGATTCTACTACATAAGGGGTTTCTGTTAAATATTCATCGGTCTTCTCCAATAATGTATACCATATTCATGTTGTTTCCAGGACTCGCATCACAACACAAGACCACCTTCTTCTCTTGGTCGATTAAAAAACTCGTAAAAATCAGATTAAAATTATTGCCAATGTTCTGGATATCCACTGTAAAGGATTTTAACCACGACAATGCGGCTTCAGTATCAAACTTATTGGTCACCCATATCTCCATATTTGTTGAATTAGAGCACTGATTTATCACTGAGAGTTGTTCTTCAGTAACAAGTGATAGAGTGGTGATACAACCAATATTCTGAAATTGTGGAAGAGACAATCGTTTAAACCTCTTTGTTGTAAAATCAAATCTGAGTACGGATTTATAGCTGCGGTTTCTGTCCAAAGCAATCCAGAAAGTCTTTTCCTTTGAAGACATGTGATTTGGTAGCAATCACATGAAGCAGTCGAGGGGGATTTCATAAAGAACCCTCCATGAATGAGAGCTTAACTCATAGATTTCAAACCTATCTTTTGGTTTGTTTTGTTTTGACTCCAACACCTAAATATTTTGTAGCTACGACAAGATATGCTGTTTTTGTATCCAAGAGAAAACCTAGAGTAGCCATCTTTGTATTGGATCCACCTGGTCTGATGTAAGACTCAGAATCTTTCAAAGTTTACATAAGGGTTGCTGATCAATTCCACGATCAACGGTTTATGCCTCTAACTTCTAAGGGCTCTTCCTCGCATGGACAGTCAGTTGCAACATAAAAATGTAAGGATTTGATTCCACAAACACTTAGAAAATCGCAGGAACAAGTGTTTAAAAGAGATACTCTTTAGTGAACAACAAAAGGGATTTTTCTTATAGCTATTACAAGAAATTATTTTAATAAATACATTTAAAACAAAATATTCAAACTTAAATAAAAGAGATTAATTAGAATGGTCAAAGAGCTAGTCTTAAGAGATTTGTGATGTGAATGGGAATGGACCAAGTATTAGAGGTTGACCACGTTTTTATGCTCTTTGAAGACTGAAATCTTGTGGCTTAAAAAGTGGTTTAGGAGGTGGGCGTTCTTCATGGAATGTTAGTTGACTAAGAATAACAAATATGATAGAATTTTCCCGGAATAGAACCAACTTGACCCGTTTTGGAAGATTGGGAATATCTTGAGAATCCGGTGAGAATATGTTTGGATCATGGGCTTTCTGGAACCAGGAGAGACCCAGTAATAATATCCAAGTGGTCTCGGGTCGAGAAAGTTGCTCAGTTTGTCTATGCAGCTCTATATCTGGCCTAGTCGCGTAGTTGGCACGAAACAAATCCACCTACTTGTAGGATTCCAAGTATGAACCGGTATTAATATGACTCTAATTTGAGGAGCTTCTCTGTTGGACCAATATTTCATAACAATCCGGTTTGTAGCTTAGTTCCTCCCGGTCTGGTCGAAATCCTCCATTCAATGCACGTATGTCCGATTCGACTAAGCTCGAGATCACCGGTTTTGTAAGCTGAATAACTTCTTCATCAGAATCTTGATTTGGATGAGTAAACTTCTTCGTGAATTCTTGTTGAGTCAAGCTTCTGGAACATGTTGATTTGTTGCTTCAATCCTCCTGGTTGGCTCAATATGCTCTATCAAAGTCACATGTGTCCTGGTCGGACCCTTGGTAGCTAGAGTGGCATGTTTGATGGAGCTCTGGTTCAGCTACTGGTTTGATGACCGCATCATGGTCTCTCCCAAACACGGATTCCAAAACACGAGTTTATTGTCTTTGGTGGTGCATAACAACAAACCGTCACAATGAAACACTTCAGCTATATCGACTTCTTCCGAATCAGAATGTGATAAATCATTTAGGCTAAGTGCACCCTTAAACTCTATAGTTGGAGAAGAAACGCCAAGACTGAGATTGACTCTCATCGATCAAACCCATCTTTCTTTCAACATGACAACCTGGGACTGCTTTGCAGCTTGACAAAAGTGTTCTTCGCTGAATTTTTGGTCTTTGAATAAAGTGTTCCATCGTTTACAAGTAGATCGTAATTGTTTCAGAGGTGTGGCTGGAACCTTAGATAGTTTTTCGTGTTACCAGATCCGAATAAAGATCAGAGATCTTCATTGTTTCTCCTCCAAAAGAAGAACAAAATAAGTCGGCTAGGGTTTTGATTACCTTTTCACGTTTTTGTGTGAACCAATAAATCTTTGTACTCTCTTGATTTTTGAATACAAAAAGTTTAAATTCTTGCACGGATTTTAAAATATTATACTTTTTTATTTCTTTTTTGTTTTCTGATCTCTTATATTCACATTATTTTCCTTGTCTTCTTATGATAGTTAAGCTATGGTTATTGCATTTAGGTCCCAATTTTTGCTTTGTTTCCATTCATATAGGTCTAAGATATATTAGTTAGGATTTTTGCATTGGTCTTGCATGTTTGAAGCTCTTTTCAGGTACTTGAACTATCACGGAGGTCAAGCGAAGGAAACCAAGGCACTCGGATACATTGAAGGACGACCAAAGGGGAAGCAGATGTCATCTTGCATCGCACCGGGAGGCGACCACATGCAAAGGATGTGACAAGCAGCACGGGGTTTGCACTACGACCAAGTACATCGGGATGACACCAATACACGAGCCGAAGTAGAGGTTGTCTTGCAATACACCGGGCAAACGTCGTGGCAACAACCCGATATAGACGACACGATCCATTCTCAAAGTCAGGACACTCGCCACAAGCTACTACATCGGGATGAAGCCGTGAATCCGCTAGCTTCCAAGCGAGTACCCATTTTGGGCAAGTGGTCCCACAAGCGTGCTAGGAAAACTTTTCTTCTCTCTTTCCGTATAAATACTCCCAACCGTTCATTTTGTCTCCCACACGAGAACATTTAGTCATTTTCGCATTTTGTCTTTTAGCTACCAAACTCTTTCTTCTTTGTTTTGTATTTTCACCATTGTTGCGACTTTAAAACCTTAAGTTGTAATCAAGTTACTTTTAAGTATTTTCCTGAGTAATAATTAGATCTTTACTTTCTTGTTCTTTCTTCTCACGATTAGCCAAGAATGAGATCTTTCACCCTCATGGGTTCTAAGGCTCTTTCTATGGCGCGTGAGTACTTATCTCGCGGGGTTTAGTGGGTTTACTTAAGGATATGGGAATTTCAGGTCTATTATTAGCCTATCATGCACTTTAATTTTGATTTCTCCTTGCTGGTTATGTTTAATACTTAGTTTAGCCTGATTAACTAGATTAAAAGCTCTCAGGCGGCTTGACACCAACACCACGTGCTTGTTTAGCCAGAACCACCTTCAAGGGTAACGATGGACCCACCCTAAGAAATTAGTTGTGTGGGAAGTCTTACGGTTCTATGGGGATGGTGTCTCAGTCTTCTCTGATTCATTGTACCGTATTGCGAGAACTCGTCTATGGTGGTGGATCTTACAAAGGACCTAGACCCAAAGACCATGGGCTAGGTAACATGT